AAATGGAGTTGACTCTTTTTTTGGCTACAGCCTTAGGGTAATGCATTGTATGCTTTTGTTTTACTGACTTTTTTTAAAAGTGGTTAGACTTAAGGGGATAATGTGGTCAAATAGCTGAAGTCCAAAGCTTATTTTGGATTTACAGAACAATAGAGACCTTTTCATTGCCCATTTTTAACTTTATGCATTTCCCTGCAGCGCTGGAAGTACAGCACAGATTTGTTCTGGCTTGAAATACCCAGGACATGGTGACGAGACAACATCAAGCCCAAAGCTTTGACGCAGTAGCCATGACTAAAAATTCTTTCAGGTTTTTGTAAGCCCTCTTTAATGGTCTGTGGGAGACCTAAACATTGACCTGTGACTTTTTTTTTTTGTAATTTGGGAGTATTTGATTATTTGGCATCAATAAAGATTAATAATAGCATTTGCCTTTCCAGTGGCTTCATGCTTTGATTGTCTGCACTGTCACTGGAAAAGCAAAATTGTCCTGGGTACACAGGAGCCAATCTCTGATGCATGCAGTAAGAGCCCTTACATTTTTCAACTCAACTAACATATTTGTGTTTCTGAAACACTTTATAAAAAGTTTGCTGCCTCTGTCTCAAAGTATTAATGTATCTTCATACTAAAAAAAAAATGCTACTTAAATGAAAAAGTGCGTCACTTCTGAAAAAATGTTACTAGGCAGTGAATGAATGTGGTCTCGGGAGTGGATTGAGGGAGAGACCTGAGCGTAGCTGCATTCATGTTGCCTTTCTTCGCTTTAAGTGTAGACTGATGGGTCTCTAATTCGGCTCTCGCTTCTGTGCTCTGATTTTTGCCAGCAGAGAGTGTTCATGAAACTATATCATGTTCTTTTAATTGTAAAACTTTCTGTTTGAGGAGGTGAAGTCCAAGTCAGTTTAAATTTCTTCCAGAAACTCTGAAAAGGTGAATTTGTCCCTCCAGACTTTGTCAGATCAGGTATATTCCCTTCACTCATCGTACTGTGATTTAGCAGACTTGGCTGAAGTAGGATTGTGAGCTTGTGTCTTGTCTGGAGTAAATTTGTGTGCTGGGAGAACTGGTAGTGCTCTGGTCTGGTATTAATGGTCTGTAGCTCATATATCTCATCAGGCTGTCTGCACCAGCTCAGGTGATGGTTTGTGTAATTAAAATCCTTCTATATGCCTTTTCTCAGGTTCCTCTGGGAAAGCTTATGAATATGGAGTAGAAATTACTTTTTTTTCAGTTTTTCTTGTGTTTGTAAACTTCATTGAAAATCTAGTCTTTATCATAATTAAACCTAAGGTTTGGCCCCTCATGGAAACAAAAAGGTGCTGGAAGTATCTTGGACTTGTTTTCAGAAAATGGTATTGTCACTTGTGGTAAATCTCCTTTACGAAGATTTTCCCTGATAATAAACTTTTTAAAAACAACACTTGAATTCCTCTGAACCAGGTTTGATGGGGAACATTTGCAGTTACTTTGCTTTGGGGGTTTGTGTTGCTTCCTTGTGGAAATACCCTTTTTATGTGTAATGTTGAATTGGTGATGCGAGAAGCTGTGTCTTGTTAGGCTTTGTACATGTAGCCTCACAGGTACAGCTCTGTGTAAGTCTTAAATTCTACCGCAAGTTTTCACGTATTGTCTTGATGCTTTTCCTGAAAAATTAGTAGGCTGAGTATTGGTGCTAGCGCTTTATTTCCGTCTCATTCATAGAGTATTGTACAGATAGCTAACTTCTGGTAGAAATAACTACAATCATGTGAATTCATTATTTGATACTACAATTGTTACATTTTCAGAATTCTTTAAAATATTTGCTATTAGTGTTTAGTTACCTGAAACTCGGGGGACCTGAGCTTCACTTTGGCACCAGCTGACAGTATTGGTGTAGCAGGTTGGGACCTTGTCTGGCTGGTTCCCTGTCGTTATGGGTAGATCCTTTTGGATATATCTATTTTTTATTGCTTGTTATTTAAAATTAAAAGTAACTGTGTCTGTGGTGTGGGTTGATGAAGATAATGTAGTTTTGGAGAGTTAACCAGCTGTAAGTTTAATATATTACATATGGGAGGGAGTTAACTATATGATAACCCATGTGGCTGTTGTCATTCTGTGTCCTTGCTGACTAGCTGCTGCATCTCTAGAACTTGAAACTTTCTCTAACTTTATCTTTTTTCTTAATGCTATCATAGGAGCTAAAAAAGTAAGTATTCTCTAGCTGTCATGTGGTTTTTGCACTTTCTGGAAAATCAGGGGAATATAGGCACTGATCTGATACTTCTAAACAGATTATTGCACAGTTTTCTGATTTCTGCTGGAAAGAAGTGTACCTTTACAGGTTGGTTTATTAGATTCAGCTTTGTCGCATTTCGATTCAAGACAGTTCTTTGATTTGAGAGAACCTCCTGATAATTGGAGTCCTCAAGAATGCACCTCATCCTTGAGATGAGTGATGTGGGGGTTGCAACTCTACTGCTTGAAGCTATTTGCTTAAGGACTTGAGCAAAGTCACCTATTAAAAAAAAACCAAACCAAAACCTAACCCTCAAATTTTAGTTTTGTTTTTGTCAAATGGTCATGCTCTTTCTATATAGAATGTTAATGTCTGTAATGCAAATTAAATATTTAAAGGTGTGACAGTTTGAGCTGGATTGAGTCATCTGGATTTCTTGTTACACCCACTAGAGATTCTTTCTGAAATAGTTTGAGTTGTAACCTCTGAGTATAACACCACCTGCACTGGGCTAATGAAGTATTCTCAATAAAGGATCTCCTTGAAGGCTATAAACTATGATTTATTTTTTTTCCATGGGATAACTCGAATCTGAATGTAGAGCCAAGCAGAGCATGTTAGGCAAATGCAGAAATCTGATATTCTGTTTAGGAGTCCTTATCGACTTAAATAACCTAAAAATAAATAACCTAAAAATTCAATTGTATTGTCCTACCTACAGTTTCAGTTGGGTATTTTGCTTTTCCCATGGATTTTGTGCTGGCAAGTTCCTACACTAGGTCTGAATGGCTGTTAATGTAGAACATGTGCACTGCAAAGCAATGCGTTTGAGCACAACACTTTTTATTTGCATCTTTTAATCCTTTTCCAGTCTGCCAAATGACTGAAATGCAGGTATTGCTTTAGCAGATGTTGCCTTGTCTTGATGCTACCATCCAAGAACCCCACTTAAATTGGCATCTCCTGTAAAAAATATCTTTTTAAGGGGGATGCTGTTTGTCTCAGCTGCTTGGACAAATAATTTAAGATATTTTTATGTTCTTAATGTGGGAATCAGGAGTATGAGGCTGCCTCAATGGTGGTTTTTTTTTTTTACAGCAGGAACAAATCCTTATATCTCAAAATAACTTGTGCAAGCTCTTTAGTGGCATGTCTTCTGTCTGCATGATGTACATGATGTCATTTTTCACTGCTTGGTGCTGTGGAAGCTGTAGTAGCAGAGCTTACCCTGCTGAGTAAACCCAAGTTACTGCTTGCTCGTAGCATTGCTCCTACCTTGCAATGTGTGTGCTTCCAGCTGGGGTGTATTTTAATGTTGATGTAGATTAATGTTTATTGAAAGCACTGGTTTGTTTCTAGTTGCTTGTAGTTAAGTGTTTTAGCTCCATAACTGGTGTAAAATGCAAGAGAAGAATGTAAAGTAAAATAAAGATTTCAAGATAAGTTTCAATTTAGATATTTTAAACTGTTTTTAGCTCTGTCACTGTGTTTTCAGCAGTTTCACAACTCCAGTAAAAAAAAAAGCAAGATCTACTTTTGCTTTTCGTAGTGATTTCTATAATTGACACATAGCATTATGTTGCTTTAATATTGTAAACTATATAAATTTAAATTGAAAGCTTAAAAAGGCAAAAGTATTTACTTGTAGTAATAGTTTATTATTTTTACTGGTCTGTCAAGCACCGGACTTGAGGCTTGTAAAATCATCCAGGAATGGTTGGAACTGCAAGCCATTGACTGAGGTCTGGATGATATTTCGACTGGATGTGAATTTTATTTGGCAATGTGTCACAGATAAATTTGTAGCTGTAAAACTTGCAGCTGTTGGTAGCTAGAGAGAGAGCTGGTGTACAGGTACTTGATTATTTATTTTTTAGCTCTGAGGATTTGACCATGTAGTGTTTGGCAGAGAGGTAGTTACCTGCTCATTAGATATTTGAGCAGTACAGTAAATTCTGTACTTGGAAAGGTATTTCCTATACCGTTTCCAATAATCTACACATACTAGGAGCTGCTTGGGGTTTTTTTCCCCCGTAGTAAAGTATGACTAGGGCAGGAAAACACAAAGCAGATGCAATATTTTTCTTTTCAATAGAAAGTCTTTTTGATAAGCTAAATTAATCATGAGATCTCCAGCTCTTGGTCAATTTTAATTTGCTAGTAACTGGGGTTTTAAACCAAAAGGGAGTCATAGTTTTTCGGTCAGCTCCCTCTGCTGGCTTTCTAGTAGTGAAACACAAATAGATGTAAACTATGACCTCTAAAGATACTTGAGAATTGGGGCATCTTTCTTTTTTTTGCCTGTCTTCCTAAAACAGTGCCTAACTGAGAATACCTAAGAAGTAATTAAGGACTAATCTCTTAACTTGGAAGAATATCTTATATGTTACAGGGGATTTGAACAAAACCTCTTTTTTTTTTCCTGGCAGTTGTCTTCAAAAGTGAAATTTGAAGTACCTTCGTCCAGTGTCTTTATTTTTAAATAGTAATGTGCAGAATACTTATCAGAACAGCAGAACTATTTTAGGGGGAAGCTTATTTTGACTTTGGAAACTGGACATGTTTAGGCAGTTTAATTTCTTGGAATTAAAATGTATAACAAAGGAAAAATTGAACTAAATGCTTAGGTTCTTTACCATGTATAATAATGGCATGATAACTTTTGACACTCTTGTATTACTTAAAATACTAAAGTCTGATGCATGCCCTTGCTTTATTTAGTTTTGCTGCAACTACATTGTTGTGCTTATCTTTTAATGCTGCCAATCTTTGGAAGATGAGGACAAGGAAGCCTCCCTGCCCGGTAGAAAAAGTGTGGGTAGACAAGCACAAATATGATGAAGCGGAGAGACTGCATTACGAAAGAGAAGCCATGCTAGCTGCTGCGGCGCCTGAGGAATGCCAGGAGGTAGAGGCTGTAAATGGAGTCTGCAATGATGACTCTGTTGAAAGTGAATTCAAGGGAGACCTGAAGAGAGCAAGGAATGGAAAGAAACAAAGGAAACGGAAGCGCTCTCCAAAACCCAAAAATGTTGCCTCCAAGTTAGACTCTATTCTGACTGGTTTGTTAGCTGACCACGTGTGGTTTGACAAACCTTTCTATGATCATGCTGAGAACGTGTACAGGAAAAAAATAGTGGATTGTCAAAACCAGGAGGCACCTGAGACTGCACTAACTGTTGAGCAGTCCCCTTTAGTGGCCAGGTCAAAAGCTGTCCAAGATATTCCTAAGCCAAGGATGCTTTCAGCAGCCCTGCTCTGCTCCCATGGTAGTCTGTCTGCGTGTCACCATATTGTTCAGGATGTCTGGGTCAACAAGTTTGACTTTGATAAGGCCGAGGAGGTGTTTATCGAAAAATCTCACTTCTTTCTTCCTCCAAATGTCCTAACCATCCCGTCTGTGTGGTCAAACACTGGCAACGTTGGGCTGAGAACACCGGATGAGGGCTATGTTACAGCCCTGCCTACTCCTGCTACGCCAAGTTTAGCTCCAGACGTCGTTGCTGATTCTGCTTCTTCCTTCGTTACCGGTTTGCCTGGCTCTGTACGCCAGACGGTAAATGGTAAGCCGCAGATTTCAAGCTTGCAGGCTCTCATGTCAGAGGTGTGGTTAGAAAAACCTCTTTATGATGATGCTGAGAAGAGCTTCTACGAGAACATGTTTGATGGTCATCCATCAGGCAAAGTCAGACAGCAGCAACGCGGCTCCCCTGAAGCATTGAAGAACAGCCATGAGGACAGCAAGAACCCTAGTGTTGGAAAGCAAACGGGCATCAAACATGAGGAGATGGCCACCAACTCTCTGCTTCCCAGTGATGCTGAGCAACCTCCGCCTACCTACTTTTTTCTGCACGAGGACAGTGAAACTGTGTGGCTTAATAAGCCGACGTATGACAGTGCTGAGTCACGATACTATGCAGCCGAGGCTCTGAAAATGTCAAGAGCAGGAGAGAGTATGGGGATGCAGGAATCCGCAGTAGTAAAACCCTCCCAACCAGCTGCTTATGCTTCAAGTGTACCTGCGCCAGAAACAAAGTAGGAGAAGTTTATTCTGGGGTAAAACTCACACATGCAAAACTGCCGGGTCAGGATTGAGCTGAAAAAATTTGCATGTGTAGAAGATGGGCGTCCTTTGCGTCTGCAGGACCAAGCATGCATGCTGCTGTAGGGAGATGTTGCTCCTGAACCAGGGAGCCTGTTTGTGGGCAGGGTAACTGGGGGGGGGGGGAAACTACTTCAAGGAACCCCCCTTCTCTTGGTGAACGCTGGTGTCTAAAGGTAGTCTTTGTGTGGTGCAAGAGGTTCAGGATTTAAAGTCAGGGCTGATAAGTCAGCTGAGGTTTGACCCTCTCTTCACATGGAGGGGATCCTGAGGCTGTGCTAGCTGAGCAGGAAGAGTGCATTCTCAAATTGTAGATGACCTTCATAGTTGTAACTTATAAATCAGGTTCCAGACAATCATTTAAAGGCTTCTTTTTTAGTCCTGGACGAGGTGTGGTATGATACTGCGCTTTCTGCATTAAAATGTTTTTATGTATGACTGCCTGAAGTCTGCACGGAGGGCTGGGAGCCTGTCCGAAGGCCAGTGCTTAAATGTTGTTTTGCAGTGACTGATGTTCTTGGAACATCAGTCCTTATTTCTGACACTTTTGATCCTTGAGTTTCTTAGGATTTGCTGGAAAGTTTTAAGATCTTTGTCAAGTGTTAGAGACAAGCTTTAGAGCACGTATGCCTTTCACCCTGTCCTGTTTGGGATAATGTTCTCTGTAATCGGACAGAACTAGATATTTGGTCATTCCTTTCACCCTTCCCCAGGAAAGTCCACGTGTCATTGTAAAATACATGGCATAAGTTTGTCTCCAACTGGAATTCTCTATTAATGACACTGGTTGGCAGCTCAAGCAGGGTCTTGGAGGGTTGAGTGCTGGGAATGGCTTTGATGTAGAGGACCTGTGTGGTATGGTGGCCTCTGGTCTCTTCTGAATGGTTAGGTGAGGAGGGCTCATCTGTTGGCCTCCATGGAAGTGTTTTACTCTAAAGCTGTGGGGTTTTGAGCTGACAAGGAGAGGGTTTGTGGGTTGCTATAAGTTGCGTGGTGGAACCTGGTAGTGGTGTGGTTTCATTGTGATGCTCTGTCCCTGCTCTCACTGCCTCCTCAAACTGGTCTTGGCTCTGTTAGCTGTCCCCTGGCTCAAAATAAGGTCACATCCTGTTCTCATACTGTTGCGAGAGCTCCATCATTTGTCTTCAAGAACAGTTAACCTTTGGAAGCTGCTGCACTGAAGAAAAATAATGTACACCATTTCACAGCAGCGTTAGGATGTTTTACACTGTTCCTCTGTGTAGTGACAGGTGTCTGTCCCTTGCAAGTGACGATTTTAATTTCTGAACGTTTGCAGCAGCTTCCAAAGGGGCACGTGTGCAGATATAGCTGTGGTGCCATTGTAAATTGTGTGTGTATCTGGGTTCCTGGAGGCTGATGGATGTCAGGCAGTGTGCTGTGCCAGGCTGTTCCTTACAGGAGGATTTGGTGGTGCATCTAGTGAAGCGTGGCGTGACCAGGTAGAGACGTTCGCTGGCCAACAGCCGTTGTCAACGCAGTTGAGTTGTGTTCGAGGAAGACTGAGATGTGTTTAAATTTGTGAGCTGTAGTGTTGGGAGTCACCTGTCACAGAGTGCTCCCTCGTTGGCACGCTGTAGCGTGGCACGTGCTGCTTGGAGCCGCATATTCTTCAGTCTTTGCTTTCACCGTGGCCAGGCATCTTAAGAATTAAAAGCATTATTCCCTTTTTGATTCTCATACACAAGACATCTTAGCAGCAGATTCCCATGTGTCTAGCATGATCTAAAAAATCCTGCTCTGAAAACTTCTTCTTTTTGTGGAAGAAGGTACAGATCAGCTGATTTATTCTGTCCCCACTTGGTGTAAATGCAGGTCAGGCCAGGCAGACGGGTGGGTGATTAGATTGCCCTGCTTTCTTAATAGGATCCTGTTTACTTAAAGCTTTCCACCGGAGGGGAAAGCACCAAGCAGAGAGCTGCAGACACAGCTCTATGGGGGAAGAAAAATGCTCTTCGGACAAGCTCAGTGCAAGCTGCTAACTTTAAGTACATTTAGGAACTCACTTTGTTGGTTTTTTTTCCTTTCTGCAGAAAAATGGCAGTCGACTACTTTTTGCATGAGAAGATCTGGTTTGAGAAATACAAGTATGACGATGCTGAGAGAAGATTCTATGAGCAGATGAACGGGCCAGTTAGCAGCTCTTCACAGCAGCAGGTAATGCTTGTTCTCAGGTGGGGTTTAGCAGAGTGCTGGAGCTTTTAAGAGCTAGTTCAGAGTGGGCAAAAGGACACGATCCACCTGGATGTGCGCTCCTCTATTTCTGCTCTGGGTGCTGCTTTTTCCAAGTGTGAGTGTCTTCTCTGGGGCTCTCTAAGCCTACCCCCAGTTATGACCCCTTTCACCTTTTGAAAGACTGTCTTCTGTGGCCTGTGAAGAATTTCTCCCGTACAACCAGTGCCCTGGGAGATCAAATACCCTTGTAACAACCAGTTATAGGTTGCAGCAGTGACTCTTAATCTTTTCAGGCTGCTGTGACAGGGCACGAACGCTATGTGTGATCTAATGGGGGCACAGTTTGAGCCGCAAACCCCAAGAGCTGCGGTTCTGTTGGCTGGGCGAAGAATTGACCTGTCCCATTCAGCCAGGGAAGATGCTGTTTTGTTGCAGCTAAGCTTCCCTTGGCAAGGGATGTGTTGGATATATGAGATGCTTAATGTTTGAAGAGAGGCACCATGGCTCAAAAAAACCCGCAGGAATTACGTTCCTCTCTTTGTACCCCCCGAAATAATCAGAAGACTGCATCGCAGTACTGGTGAGTTGGTGGGAGTACGTGGAGGGGAAGCATGGTGCTGCTGCAACACACCTGACCTGAAGTAGTTCAATTTTACATATTAGCCCCAAACTATTACTATTTAAAGGTACAGAGCTATTGTAACCTCTTCCTGCTGTGTAAAGAGCTGTTAACTGCTTATGCATTTGGGTGGTTATGTAGAAAGCTGCTTAAGAGTTTTAAATGGCTGTCTTGCAAGCATTTAAGGGGAAGCTTTTTGCTTAAGTAATAGCTTCTAGGCACACTCTCTCTATTCCCGCTGCCCATGCTAGCGTAGCGGTGGCATAGCACCTAGGACATGTGAAGAGAGGACACCTTTGAGAGGTGGTGTGAAGGCTCTGGGGGAGATTCTGCAGCAGTTTTTAAAGGTGCAGAGCTATTGTAACCTCTTCCTGCCATGTAAAGAGCTGTTTAACTGCTTATGCATTTGGTTGGTTATGTAGAAAGCTGCTTAAGAGTTTTAAATGGCTGTCTTGCAAGCATTTAAGGGGAAGCTTTTTGCTTAAGTAATAGCTTCTAGGCACACTCTCTCTATTCCCGCTGCCCATGCTAGCGTAGCGGTGGCATAGCACCTAGGACATGTGAAGAGAGGACACCTTTGAGAGGTGGTGTGAAGGCTCTGGGGGAGATTCTGCAGCAGTTTATCAGCCACTTCCCTGCTAAGGAAAAAAGATCCATGCTCCTTAAAACCTTCCTGCAACCTGGAAGTGGTATCCACCTGAATATGTCCAGGCTGTTGCTCTTCTATGGTCTATTTGACACGGGCTTTTGGGCTTGTGAGCAGTTTGCTGTCTCAGATCTTGTTTGTGGGGTTGCAGTCTGGGAGAAGCAAGGAGCGGATGGATCATGGAAACTGAATTTGTGCCTTAGGAAGGAAATTTTCCAAATCTAGGCTAAGGCACAGCAGCAGGGGGATGGGGGCAAAAAACTTGTGCTGCTGTACCCTGGCTCATAGCTCTCTGGATAGAAGACTTCGGTTACGGCTGTCACGTCTTTCCTGAATACAATGATGGGTAATAACTACGACAAAGGGCTGCTAATGATAGATCTCTAAGGAGTACTGAAGTGACTCCAACCCTCTGCTGTCCAAACCGTTCAGGGTAATCATAGAGAATTTGAAAAGCTCTTGACTGGATGATCTTCTGGACACGTGGCCTGATGTGACCAGGGACTGCAGTTGATGCTGCCTGATTTAGAACCAATCCTTGCAGCTAATTTTACAATACTTGCTGAATCATTGGAAGGAACCCTCCCCCACTCTTACCCTCTTTTTTTTTTTAACTTCCCTGACCAGTTTCCCATGTTTCGTATTTTTTTAAAAAAAATCTTGGTTCTTTCTGCACTGTTTGCAGGAGAACGGAGCCAGCACGATCCTACGCGACATTGCCAGAGCCAGGGAGAATATCCAGAAATCGCTGGCCGGAGTGAGTACCCAAGCTCTCTCACCAGCTGGCTACCTGCAACCATTTTTAGCTGTGATGCATCTCACAGAACCCCGCTGTGACCACTTCATAGATTGTGTGGCTTCTTATTTTTAAGTTAGAGGAGAAGACTAAGGTGTGCAGCGCTGTGTACCACCGCCATAGCTCCATCTGATCAAGAGCACCGTTACTACTAGAATGCATGCTGCTTACCTGCTTGCTAGCCTGCAGAGTGCTTTTTAAAACTAACTTGATTAGGGTTAAAATTCTTCAGCTGTGCATTTCTTTTCTTTTTTCCCTGGTGGAATGTTCCCACAAGTCCTTATCTAACAAGTTACAAGTCACTGTTAAAATAACCTTGCTGAGTAGCAAAGTGCTGAGCTGCCAGCAGGAGTATGTATGTCTCTCTCTTGGGGTACACTGAGCTGCCACCTTCTCTTTCCTGTTTTGCTTTCAGTTTAGGGTATGTGCAAAAAAATGGTATCTTCCATCTGCTACATCTACGGAATTCAGCTTGGCTACTAGCTCTAAGTCTGGAGCATCCTGTAGAAGTTCAGTAACATCTGTTCTTGGAGGTGTTTTTGTGCTGATATGTAGAGCCAGCACTGATAAAACTTTAATTTTTCAAGAGGAAGCTGAAATCTTAAACTAATAAGTGGTCTGGTTTCGTACGTGAAGAAAATTCACAGAACACAGCCCGCATGTCTTGATTTCTTACCTCTGCAGTGGGACTACTACATACCTGCGCATACCTTCTACCTGAGAGTATCCATCCTTTATCTCTATTGATTTGGCCTCATAACTCCCTCTTGGGGTATTTAACACCCTCAGTTTCTATCTAGATCAGTACAATAACAGGGAATCGAGCCTTTCTCAAGGGGAATATTTCGTATTCCTCCTTAAAATAACCAGAAAGGAGCCATACGCTTGGGGTGGATATGAAGCAGTTAGGCTAATTGCTTTCCCCATGGTGGTCTCACTGTGCCTGTTGAACTTGACACTACAAAAGCAACTTCTGCAACTGCTCATGTGAGCGATCCAAGATATTCAGTACTGCAGGAAGAGCAGGGCAAATTTGATGAAAGGATGGTGGGAAAGGATTAAATTTGCTTTGATTAGATTCAGTGGTCCCAAATCCAGCTTGAATACAGCATGGGAATCAATGGAAAGTTGGGACATCTTAGTAATATTAAATAAAAAAACCCCAAAACATGTTGAAGAGGAAAATACTTGCAAGTTTTCTAGTGCTAGATTTCTAATTTCTTACTTCAACATCAGTATTTCAGCCAACTGCTTGGGGAAGGTTTTCCTCAACTGGCTCATTTAAGTACAGATCTGAAATAACATATTTGGGCTTTTAGTAGAGACTTACCAGCTCTTGTTGGACTTTAGTTAAGGCAGATATGTGGGGAAGTAAGTCCAACAGGGTTGGAGAACTCTTGCACAGATAGTGTTAAATGCCTTTGGAAAGACCTTTTCAAGCTGAACAAGGTCGTGGCTTCCTCCAAGACTTGCCTCCTCCAGGAGCCAGAGGCTGGATGTGGTGACTAGGGACAGGAAACCAAAATACAAATCATCTGGTTGTGCTGCTCGTCTACCCCGAAGGCATATTCTCATCTTGCAGAATGGTCTGTGGTTTGTCAAAGATAAGGAATTTCTTGCCCTGGCCTGTGACTCATGTTAAAGAGCCTCTTTGTGTGAGGAGCATGTTAAGTTTAGATCATCCAGGTCCTGTAATGGGGAAGACTGGGGGAACTGGCAAAGCACCGGACCAAAACCGGAACAGAAATTTGAGAATAAAGTCCTTTGCACTCCTGTGGCATTTGTTTGGGTTAGTGCTGAATGAAAAATTCATCTGTTGGATTTTTGCTTCCTGTGAAGAATACGTGGCGGGCTTGAGGATTTAAGGTCAGGACTGAGCCACAGGGCCTTAAAACTGGAATCTGGGGTGTTGCAAAAAGTGGATTGGGACTCTCCAGCAAAGCCTTGAAGGAAAAGCATTATGTAGTGCACATCTGTATGAAGGAAAGCACTGTGCACCCTAATCTGCATTGCTGTTGGGGGCACTCCATCATTTATCCAACCTATAGCTGCCATTCTGGTCCCAAAATATGCAGTTGTTTAGATAAGCAGAGCGCATGGCAACAGTGATCTCCCTTTCCTGTCTGTTTTATAATCCTGTTTAACTGATCATGCCTTACCCTGGCTTATATGATACCCTGGAGAGCTTCACCTTTTCAGTTTTTCCACACGTTGCCACATCTCTGCCCTGGAACCTGAAGCGGTAAAGCATGGTTGGATCTTTTGTGTTAGTGTGTGGGTTAGAAAGACTGAGCTGTTTGAGAAACAAGTCTGAAACATAAGCTTTTCTAGCTTGCATTTCTGAAGGATCATCACTAATCTTGGACAGCCACGGCATAAAGGAGGCTTGACTTTAGAACACGCTTTGTTTTTATGTTTCAGCCAAATTTATACTATCTGATCTATGGAACAATAGTGAAGCATGTTTTTATAGTCAGGATTTAGTTTTTTTCCTTCCACTTGAAGATGCAGAGTGATTGTCAGGAGTCTAAAGATGTAGTAAGTGAAGAGTTGGCTCTTATAAGATGGGAAGATGGAAGATTAGTGCCCTTCTTTTGCTGGTTTCAGGTCTGCTTCAGCTGGATAGTGTTATTCTGAAATGTGTGAATGTGCATTAGAAGGGTTGAGATTGTACCGAAGGAGGGTACAAAGCTCTGATGCTGGAAACATTTGTTTGCACATACCTTTCATCCCGCTTTGCATGGTCATCTCTGCTTTAAACAATCTCTCCAGTTGCCATCTGCTCAATCGCTAATGCTTTCCTAGATATCAAGTTGTTAACATGTGCAGTACTGCAGCTGGTGGCATTGAGACCGCAGGTGGTGAGAGTTTTTACAGCTGGGGACCCGAGGCACGGAAAGGATTGATTTGCCTGAGATCGTAAGCAAGTCCAACAGAGCGGGTGACTGAACTCTCACTTCCTGCACCCTCCCTGGGGGCTGTAACAAAAGGGATGTCACTGGGTGGCTGGTGTGGGAGTCTGAAGCTCTGTTATTCCCCTCTCTGTCCAAGTTCCCTCTTACAAAGCCTCTGTATTTGTGGGTTTCAAACAAAAAAAGTTCCCAGAAAACCTCTGATTTTACTAAAACGTTTGGAAGCCACATTCAGAAATGCATCTGTGTGCAGGGAAGGCTCACGCCTTCTGTTGGAAACCAGCCAGGATCCATCCTACTGGTCTTAGGTGGGGGAAAGTCTCTTTTAGTTCTTCAACTTTGTTTCCCCCACAGTTCACAGCTTTTGTGTATCTAACTGTGGCTAAATTTTGCCTATTTCCAGAGCTCAGGTAGACCAAACTGAAAGGTGTTATATCTCTGCATGCACAAAACAGGTTTATTTTTTGGATGAAGCTATGTGTGCTCTAGACTGGAAAAAAAACCTACGCATCACATCTGTAACAGAGCTTGTAAAATCTGCATGCTGTTCTTTATAACAGCATGGTTAAATGCTGTTATAAATATTGGTTAAATGAAGAGAAAAGGGTTGACAACTTCCACGTACTACTTGTAGTGAGGGAAGTGCCAGCTTTCCAGCTGTGGCTGTTGGTTGGGCCTGACATATGAAGGGAAGAGCTCTTAGCTGTAGCTGTCCAGACAGATTTCCTTCAGCTGATATGTCGACATGTAACTTTTGCCAGCTTTTTCTTCATTAATTAGTGTTCTTGTCTCTGATTTTTTTTTTAAAGTATGTTTTAGAGAGTTAAACTATAGAGAGGGCCAGATGTTGAAAGCCCTTTAAGGCTGAGGCTAGATTCTGTTTTCTACACTTCATAAGGAAGAAGTCTTAGGGTTTTAATTTGCTTGGATGATTAAATTTATATGCAGTCCTTGGTGTGGTGCTGGGCTTGCTGACTGCTTCTGCTATGCAAAATATTTTGAATAGTTTGCAGCAGTGATCAGTGTATCACTAATGTGGGTTCAGCACAAAAACTGTGGCTTAAGCTTAGAAAAAACAAAGGTTTTAAGAGCTCTATCCGTGAGACAATGCGCAGGAAGTGACTGAAGTGATGCTCTGGAACTCCCTATCTTTGAGATTTTTAATTATTGTCCTTGATAAAATTCACAAACACTTGTGTCAAGCTTCCTCTTGGCACAGTCGAGTCAGAAGAGGAAATAACGCTCGGTTGTGCGTAGGAAAAAACGCACCGTAGGTAGTGTACAGCTTAGGTTGGTGACCACATCTTTGAAACATGCTCACCTCAGGGGAAAGCTCACAGTCTCATAAAGGCAACTTTTCCACAATTTCTGCACGTGTGGCTTGACCATCTCCCAGAATTGGGAACTTGGCTCAGAATCGTGCCTCTTATACCATGCTTTACAGAGGTTATAGGTTCCCAAAGGATGCCTGGCCCAGTTTGTGAAGACTTTATCTCTTGTTTGCTTGAGCTTGGGACAGGCAACCCTCTTTTCTTGCCAGCAAAAGATAGCTGTGCTCAGGCTCACCCTGCCCTGGGGTTGCCCAAGACTAACAAATAACGTCTGAATTCCACAGGGTGTTGATTTAAATGCTTTGCTGTGCCATGTCTGTGAGCAACGTGAGCCCTTGCCGTGTTGTAAACCTCCCTTTTAAACAGGCGTGAAAAATACAGCACGGAGGAGCAAATGAAACCTGGTTTAGGATTAGCTTAGCATGTGTAATATGCTGAATCTGTTTGTCCAGGTGCACAACACTGAACTATTCACATGAAATTTGTGGGTGTTTAACCTGTAGGTTGTTAATCTTGCCGTGTCTGCAGAGACCTCAGTAGCAACTTGCAGCTGAGAAATCCCGGAGGGGAGACGGCTTCCCACAGAGCCACCCAGATATCTGTGCTGCAGCTCCTCGAGGGCCTCTGCTACCTGTATTACCGCATACTGATGGGCAGACGCGTACTTAAACGCCCCACTGAGAATGCTGCCTCTCCTCTGGGCTTCGTTATCTGTATTTGCAACCTTAATGTCGTCAATGGAAGCTGGCAAAGGAGGGGGGAAAAGGGAAGGAGTTTGTGCATTGTAGAGCTCTGCCTTGCTCTGTGCAATTCCCTGGGTGCTACACAAAGCTTTACAAATGGCACCTGACAGCAATATACAGCTAGGTTTCTATCCTAGTATTTTATACTACTCAAAAGGTCTGTTGAAATAACAAAATGTCATTTTTCCATGCTCTTCCTTGTGAGAATAGCTTCATGCAGAGCAGAGGGTTTCAAAATCCTCTCATCTTACTCTTGCAAGCCATAGCCACAGCCTTTTTTGGGAAAACGGCCGTGATTTTCTCCTTAAACATCCCCGGAATGACACAACCACACAAGGCTGGCAGGTTTGTCTTGCGCTGGAGGCATCCTGCCAAGCTGTAGGTATTTTTCCTGTGGGACTGCAGGGAGGAGCAGTGCTGACCTATTCTGTGTAAGACTCCGGGATGGCAGCTGACAAGTGTCAAGGTAGATGGTTCTGCCTCAATTTAGATTTCTCAGCTTTTGGGAAGAAAAAAACCCAGCTATGTATCTCTTTGTGGGTAACAGCTCCTGTTTGATGAGTCAAAACAAGAAGTGCTTTTTCAAGGGGTGGGGATGGATGTGACTATTGCCAAAATTCACTTTTCACTGAATTAACTTAGACTTTGGCCCTGATGGTGTAACTAGAGCAGTAAGAGGTCAGGCAACGAGTTCAGCTGAGGTTTAATTTTTGTCCTTGGTGTATAAGGCTAAGGGCTAACCTGATGCGATGAGCCCAGTGCGGCTAGCAGCCTCTGTTCTTGGTGGTGCATGCGAGGATGGAAGCCCATGCAGGGGTCTCATCAAGTTGTTAGTGCAAACCGGCGTTGTGTTGCTCTACGTCTCTCTAGGAGAAAGAGTCTTGGTAACTTTGCATGTGTTTCTGCATCTGTCAGGTGTTAGATTTTATCTAATGACAGGAGAGCCGGCTCAGACTGCGGTGCATGCCGCAGTAATGCATGCATCTGCTGCACCTCTGATTTTACAGATGGGGAGATGTCTAAGACCGTGCTCTAGACATCTCAGTCTAGTTCTGCCACCCATCTGCGTGACCTTTTCTGCAGGCACTGAGATGTTTAACAAGAAGGTGGTAGAATTCATGGATAAATGTTTCCGTGCAGGCTTTGTTTGGTGTGTAGTTGGTGTGAGGCTGTATCTTGTTCCTTGACAATTTGTCCTGCATGTGGATCTGCTTCCTGCACTTGAACTGCCTCTTCCAGCATGAGTGGAAATCCTTTTCTATCTTCGGTCTTGAACCAAACATCCTCCAAACCTTTTGCCCTTTGCAGCAGAAGACAGCTCCTCGTAGTAAAGAAGCTCCTTCTGCCCGTCACAAGAGGCAGTCAGGCCGCTCAACTGTAAGTCACCTGCGCATGGATGGAGCTGGTTGTGTGATTTGAGACGATGTTGTAGGGCAAGGACAGTCCTGCCTTGGAGAGATGGATCAAGTTCTCCTTCCTTACGATGAGAAGTGTTTGTCCTTTGGCACGTGGTTGTAGCTCACCCTATATATCTTCTACTGGGGCATTTAGATTTCCCAGCTTGGTGTCAGGGGACTGCAGATCTGCGCTTGCCTTCCTGAGCCTGTATCTGTTGCAAAGGCTGCGTCGGAGATTGGTTTCACCGTGCTTTTGACGTACGACCCCTGCCCCTTTTTGGGTGGGTGGAGAAGAGTCTCTCTGACCTTCCTGCTAGGAGCAGCTCCTGCTTCTCCGTGTGTCTCCCAGGGCCAGGCATCTCCCAGACCTGCTTTCCATGTGCCACATATTCTTCATCTTAAGCCCTGTATTTCCCTCTCTCCATCTTAAGTGACTGCCGAGATCTCGGAAGCATGTCACCTGCAACTGAGAACCACATCATAATTATATGCAGGGTGCAAATTATTTTCTCTATTGTTGTATTTAGTTATAAATGACGCTTAAAGTGTGAAGGCCTGTTATTTTCATTCCCTTTGCTAATTTGAATTTATAGATCAGGACTTCCTTAAAAAAAAAAAAAGCTCTTTTTTTGCTGTTAAATACTTCTGAAGCTGGATCGCTAAAATTGCTGCCTCAGAATGTCTTAAAGTAGGTTTAAGTTGTTTTGAGAGGAATTAAAGGCTAGACCAGGAAAGGTGGGAGTATAGAAATGCCGGGATCTCTTTCCAGCTTTCACAGTCACTTGCTGTGTGACGTTAGGCAGGTCACTTCTGTGCTCTGTGCCTCAGTTTGTCTGTAAGAGGAGACCAGCTGCCCCGTTTAAAGGCCTTAGTATGAAACTTTTAAAAACTTTTTGTGTGTTCGGTGTTAGGCTGTGATCTGAGACTGTAAAGAATTACTTTATCCTTTGCCCATCAGTTGAAATGTCTCGAGAGGTGTTTCATGCTTCATTCTATAGAGCTAGTGTATTCTTTTTTAAAGCCTTTAGAAAAAATGTCTTTCCTTCTTAGATTAGCTTTCATATTTTCTTCTTCCCTGAAGGCATGACTCTGCTTTGCTTCACTGATCCACTGAGCTTGGGAGTAGCTGAAAGGTTTTTTTTTTTTTCATCTCGGTTTTCCTTGTTGCAGAGTGCAAGCACAACTTCTGGGCCTGCTGGTGACCAAAATGAACTCCTTTCCAGAATTTCTCACCTGGAGGTAGAAAATCAAAACCTTCGCAGTGGTAAGTAGGAGAATCTTCTGGCATGAAAGCAAAGATGGGGTCCTGCTTCTGTAGGGTGTATCCCTTACTGATTTTGTCACCAGGTGAGCATATGCCGGTGTCTTGATCAGAGCTTTGCAGGCTTCCCTCTGGGGCAACTGGTGTTTTAAAAGCCCACTTTGAGCAGAAGCAAATTTGTCCTGACTTGAGAGCTGATGCAGAGCCTACAAGATAAGATTCTTTGTTGTTTTATTTCCCCCTCTCTTCTTGCAGTTGTTGCAGACCTTCAGATGGCCATCTTCAAGTTGGAAAGCCGCTTGAATGCTCTGGAAAAGTCATCTACCTCCCACCAGCCCTCACCAGTTCCTCCAACGCAGGTGAGCCTTGCAAAGCGCTGTTCTTGAATTCTTCACAGTCACAAAGTGCCAGGTTATTTCCAAAGTCTCCTGGCTGTCCACTGAGGATGGAGAGATGCTCATAGTTAGGATGAGTTTGCAGCTTTTCCAGCAGTTTTGACACCTGCCTCATCTTTCCCAAACGGTATGTGTAGAGAGGAGTGTTCTGCCCTAAGACCAGCAAAGAAACTACGTTAGAGATTTCAGCTAGCGAGAGCTGGTGCAAACTTTGTGGAAGTTTGGAGTTAATATGTACTTGATGAGCATTTAGCCCACAGTGCTGTGAGTTTGTTAGCACGCACCAGGTAAAATGCCACTTTGTTACAACAGACAAGCAGAATTGGTGATGCTTTTTTTTTTTTTTAAACAAATGTCCCCTGGCTGGAGCACCTCTCCTATGGAGACAGGCTGAGAGGGTTGGGCTTCTTCAGCCTGGAGAAGAGAAGGCTCCAGGGAGACCTTAGAGCCCCTTCCAGTCCCTGCAGGGGCTCCAGGAAAGCTGGAGAGGGGCTGGTGACA